TTTAGAACTAAGTAAGATCTGCAACTTCCAGTTGATTCAAGTAATTGACAAATGATTGTAATGAAGACGCTCAGTTATGAGCCACTAAAAAATGCGCGTAATCAAAAGACGGAATACGAGCATCAATTATGAAAATCGAAAGATACAGATCTTGATTAGCTCTATTCGAGGTACTCAAGTGTTGCGAAAGATGAATTATAATTTGTAATAAGTACATTATATGATTAAGATATATTATATTCATAGTTTGAAAGCCTTAGGTTTTTTATTTGTACACTCTGAATAAATTTTTTTATAAAACTGTTTTGTCTTTCATATTTGTTGTCCCAACTACTTATCACAAACAGATGTATTGGAAAAAAAACCGTTAATATTATAACTGGCATAGATTTTCTGCGTCTATTGATATAGATTTTCGAAAATTTATAAAAAACGCATAGAGAGAGAGACAGAACGAGGAGAAAAAAGAAAAATAAAGAAAGCGGGAAAAAGCAGGAAAAATTTAACAAGAAGTAGTAATTTATAATAATATTAAATTATTATGGTGGTGAAATATTTATTTATTTAGCATCTTACAGTATATACATTTATAGAGTATATACTGCTTATAAAGTTTGCAAAATTAAAATTTGCAACATTATAATAAACTTTGTGACTATAATGCATTTATAATATCTAAAATAATTAATCAGCTTTATAGAATAATCATGCACGTAATGACTAGTAATAGTGGATGACTAGATAGGTTTTCATAAATGCGTACTGCATAGATACGATATCTTTTAGGCGGCTTTTTATCACGTATGAAAAAAGTACTAATAATATTTAGTAAGTAGAGATGTCTTGGGAGAAAATATACTTTGTAAATTATCATTATCTTAATACCAATGCGGCACATGCTGCAGCTGTAGAATATAATTTAGAGATTTCCTCCTTTATACTTATCTATTCAAGAATGTCATACGCAGCACTATATACCCGATCTCATTAATTTGGCTGTGTAGTCTCTTTGTTTGACGGCCAAATGCAAATCCAGACTTCTCAACATTCTCGTCCGTATTTCTTGCACGTTGGATTCTCGTTTACGCAAATCGCTGGCTAGAATCCTATCTCTCGAATACAACAATTCGTTCTGTTGGAACGATAAATCGTTGAATTTGGCCGTATTTAATGAGGAGGATCTGTTTCGCGATTCCCGCATAATGGTCTTCATGAATTCAAGAGCCATTCTTCGACAAGTATCGAAACCTAGTAATTGTATTCTGCTACTATGAATTGCGTTCATACGGTTCTTGCAGCGCATTTCTCTATCTACTATTTTAGCGACCGAACTGGATGTTCCGGGTAAATCTTGAAATACTTTGACAAGAATTTCTTTAGTTAAATCTTCTTCATTGTCCGACATGTCTGTAAAATAATAGAGAAATATCGATAATGAACTGATTTTGATGAACGTCGAACGAGACGATAATCGATTATTGAAACTGGCAGCACGAAAATTAAAGAATAGAAAGAGAGAATATTAATCTACGAACATGTAAAATATTCTTTTTACAAAATTTAATTATATGTGTCTATTATGGATTGCATTCTACGATTGATAAATAAAAAAATAAAATTTTTTTCCCGTAATGTTGCAACATTTGTCAGTAAAGAATTTTATTGTCTGTGGCATAAGTTATGGCAAGATTGACCTTTCCTTGGACAGCAAATCAAGTGACTTATTCCGCTCCACATATTACACGGATGACACGGGATTGGCGTCATGTCGCGTTGAGAATCACGCGTGAATTTGACGAAATTGCCAGTGTACCTTGCGGCTAGATTTTCCACTAACCGTATATAAACTGACGTCGTTTCGTGTATGATTTTTATATTATGCTGAGACTGATATAAAAGTTTTATATAAAGATTTTCAAGACACATGCGCATATCTATGACAATTGATAAAAGTTCTATCTCAGCATCAGATAAATTAATAAATAATAAATGAATTTATCTTTTGCAAACCGGTTATCCAAAAAATTGTATAATTAATAATAATAATTAATTGTTTAAATTATCCTAACATGATATTAGAGAGTTTGTTGTAACTAGATGAAGAAAATAAAATTCTGTTCAAAACTTTATAATAGAATTTTAGAGATTGTCACTTTTTTCTCATAAGATTTTACGAGATTATAGTTTAACGAGATTATGTAATGTCCGATGAGAAATGAAATATATAAGAGAAATTTTATGTTACCCAGATCATCGTTATCGTTATTAGTTTCTGCGACATATGTGCCGTCCTTGATTTCTTGTTGTAATTCTAGGACTCTGTTTAAAGCCAATTGGAGATATTCCTTTGTATTTGGATCCTGTGGAAACATGAAACATGCACTTCGGATGTGGAGCATTACTGGATTTGCTCAAAACTTGCTACATTAATAATATAGATAGATCGTTTTATCTCGAATATATCAGATAATAACTTTCCTTATCATTATCGAAAACTATTTATTAGACATAGCTGTAACATGTTTATTTATTTAACATACAAAATAAACCACCTTTCTATTTTAAATAATTTAAAAGTATGAAAAAAAGCTCTTTTCATTTACACATTCTGTATAAAAATTAAAACAAAAAAAATAGTATGTGCATTGATTTGTTTGTTGCATATATTGAGCTTCTGTCGAACCGCTTTGTTGCGGTTAAATTGGCTACAACGATCTGTACAACGTTCAAAAATAAACTATCAAATGCAATTGTATTGCGACTTTATATATATATGTCAAATATAAAAAATACACTCCCATACACATCTTGCAAATTATTTTAATTGGTAAATTCAAAATATAACAATTCTCTTGTTAAGATTTTCTAAATTTTGTAAGGTTTTTTAGTATCAAATGTGTAACATGTAGCCATAAAATAAATTGATACGGCAAAAGTTGAAGTTCACCATACTGACCGCAAAAACGCAATTCGGTTTTGTGATTTTTGGAAGGCAAAACTTGGCTTATATTTGACTCTAGTGAATTGTTTTGTATCTTTACGAACTTGTTAAAACTTGAAAATAAATAAGATTTTTATTTTGTGTCATCGAGTAAAGTTAAAAGCGATCATATCGTTTATTAAGGAGACCAAATTGGAACAACTATAAGAACGTTATTTTAATTATAATAATTTTAGTACAATAATAAAATAACTAATTAGTTCAACTTACCGCATATTCTCCAATGCCTTTTGTTCTTTTAAACTCACTACCAACATCTTCTAAACACGGTGCCTATGTCATATATTATAATCCATTAAAATTCTATTTTATAATCTTTTATTATTTAAATTATCCCTATATTATTTTATTAACTATAGCTATATATATGTTTTCACTATAAATATCTTACCGATGAATATCTCTTCATTATAATCCGATTCAACTTAATGCTGCAAGATTTCTACCTGCAATCCAATGATGCTTGATAATCAAGAGTAAATAATAAATCTGAAATTTAATTTCTTATGTTTTTCGAAATTACATTCGTGAATAATCGCAACAAATAAAATTTTACGAAAGAAACCGCAAAATATGAGCAGCATTATTTTAACAATTCTTTTTTACCCACATAAAATATGAAAATTCAGCTATTTATTTTGCTTACAATTTTGTATGATGTTATATTGCCTCGAGTAGCAAATACATGTTGCATTGTAATGCGCTGTACTGTATAAACTGTTATTTGAGTTAATATACTAACAATATACGAGACAACTCTACAATACACTTGCATACGATGTTCTGTGCTTTACCGTACAATTTCTGCATATTAATTAATTTTGTTAATGCATAAATGTTGTTCTGATTTCAATAATTCTTGCGTCAAATATGTTTAAATTTATACATTTGTCATTGTACATTTTACACGTTACAGTTTCATATTTTTCAAATTTTCTAGAAATGTTAGAGGAATAAACGACTCTTAATATCTTTCGCCAAATATTTATGTTATAAAAAACGCTGCAGCTTTTAAGATAAAATTTAAAAAAAGATTTGTATAGACTACATGTAACAAGAGATACAAAGCTGGCATCTGTGTGGGTGGATCATCTTGCAGTCTCATCGTCTGCAAGTAATGAAACCTCGTATTACTTACGCGACTCTGCCTTCGTGTAGAAGCGTGCGCTTAAAGTTTGTCCCTTAACTTTCGGATCGGTTATCTGTTGTATCAGCTTCGTTATCAGGTGCAGTCAGAGTCTTGAAAAATTTTTCGCGCGTGCAGGCACACTAATGGTTTCTCTATCGCGCCAAGTTTCTCGGGCAAATCGTTTTTCTTTTGCAAAAAGAGTTTTTTTCACGTTCTTAAGTTGCGCAAAGCACCGTATTCTCGTTATTCGCTATACGTGTCCAAAGAACTATCAATGAAATCAACCGTTGACTAATGCCGGTAGTCGCGTACTACCGATCTCCTCCTGACCGTTGTCTGGGAAAGGGCCTCACGCGGGGGAGCCTGTCTACCCTATCTACCCCCGGTCCCCTTCGAGTTGCCGTTTAACCGTCACGTGAAGGTCCGAAAGAGCAGCAGATGTAAGCCCCCCCCCTCCCTTCTCCTCTATTCAATACCCTCTGCGCACGTTCTGTTGAAGGGAATTGACGAGTGGCACGTGCGAGCATGTTGTACGTGCGTCGACGAGCATTGATTATTTTTACTGGACTTGGAAATTAAGTCCTCGAGTGGTCTTTTTCATACGCACGTTCTAAAGTTTACTTGGGTGAAAAAACAATAGGTTGTTTATAAGAAAAAAATGATATATTGTTCAAATTAAATAATATACACGACGAGTTACATTTATTAAATTCAATCACACGAAGCATGTGAAAGATATACAAAGCACATATCTTTGTTAGTTGGGCCTTCTTGTAAGAGGGATACGATACGCTTAAACAATATATGTACAATATATCCTGAAACTATCAATCTTTCAAATTATTTGACGTCAAGGTTAAAAATCATTGATCAAAATTATATATACCAATGCCGTCGTGCGCACATTGATGTCTCATTTACTTCAAAGATTTTTTAAGGTAATGCTCGCTAAATATCTAAGGAATGTATTTATTTATTTTAGCCATTTTGCTCTCATTTTTCATTTATTTTTGTATTTATTATCAATGTATAATGCCAAACATCTTGTATACACGGTGTCCAACAAACCTAACAAACCTAAAGTTTTCAGAGTTCTACCAGGAATCACACTTGGATCTTTGAGTTACTAATCACGTGTCTAATTTGATGTGATTTATGAACATTTCTACTTATGTTAGATAGCGAGTTCCTGAATCTATTTCACTTATACTAAACGACATATAACTGGGGAAAGGCCCGTGTGCATTACATATACATATACGAATACACATATGTACATACACACACATCTTTAAATTACTAAAGACTAAATTATTTTATAGAATCGGTGCAACCATACTCTCAAAATTTAATTGGTATTTTTTTTCTATTATTGAGATCAACACTGGAATCGATAATTAAAGCAAATTCGAGAGTAACATATTGTCGGTATCATATTTTTGATAAGTTCTTTTACGAATTTTTAATTGTAAGTTACTATAATATTCACTACTGCCTAATAATATCTAACAATGTCTAATAATGCTCTAAATCTGTACAATATCTGTACAGATTTTTCTTTTGAAATCCATCCTTCCTTAAAGTTTAACAAATCGATAATTTCAGGACATCTTGTATAGAATGACATAAACTAGTATTCAATACAGCCATCATCGAAAGTTTTTCCATTATTTGAATTATTTTTTATGTACTTGTATGCTGCGAGTAGTACATCGTACATTTAATTGAAATATAAGTAATGCTACAATAAAAGGTTCGCTAAATATTGGCTAATAGATCAATTATAGGATCGATTCTCGCCAATGTTACATAGTTTCACGTAATTTTATAAAGATCAGATAGTTTTATCAATATACATTACACTACACATTTTCGGACGATAGAAGATAAACCTATTTTTATCTGATAGACATGTACTTAGAAAAGATAAATTTAATTTGTATATGTATCCACAATTAAAAAATATAAAATAATACGTTTAGCATTATTTATACTTACAGTTAGTTAAAGTACCAAGATGTTAGATAAATTTTCTTTTATACCTTTCTCGTGCTTTCTCATGTTTTTGCTTTTGTACGATATTTGCTGTGAAATTTACAAATTTATAAATTAAGCGGCGAATAGTTATTTCAGTTAAAAAAATATAAAAAATATAATTGTACAAAAAATATAATTGTACTTACTTTTTAGTATTTAATCTTTTAGATAATTAGTCGTTTATTATATTAACAAACAAATTCAATTTTCGTTGTTTTTATGATTTTAATAAACACACATTAAAAATTGTTACCATGAAAGATCGATTCTTAATCGCAATTCCCACAGATATGAAAAATATATGGCACGATAATGCCAAGTTATCGGCAAATTGTCTGTAACTTGACTAGGTTGAGCAAGAAATTAGTGTATGTATAAAGTATACATATAGGTATACGTATTTAAAAATAGTAGAAAGAATAAATTCCTTTATGATTTTTTTCACCACTACATAATGGGAAATCTGTAAAGTGTGTATTTTACAAAAAAAATTGTTATTAAAATAAGACTAAGTAGAAAAATAATTACTTTGCGAACATAGGAGAATGTTCACACGCGCTTTATGGCTTCACTAAGCCGGCACTCTTTCAACTGTTCAATTCAATTACATTATCAATCTCTAAGGAAAGGTTTGACGACATAGGCTACCCTGAAAGTCGCTTTGAATGAAACGTAATAAAGAAGATTGCAATTTGAGTTTGCAAATATATGATGTATGAAAGAAATTATTTGAAAACGTGCATATATAGTGTAGAGCAAAAATTGTCGACTTATATATACGTGTAATTTCGTAAATTTATTTCTTTTAAATAAAGAAGTCATACGAATAGACAATTGTGACAGTCGAAACAGTATAATTACTTGAATGAAAAGTGCTTGTGATCTGTCGTCTTTTGATCGTTGTAACGGTTTTGAAACATTAAGCATCAGATTAACACGCAATCATCCTAATGAGGCCGTGATCACTTTGATTTTTCATTAGCCAATCGATAACGGCATAACAATTGCGTTCGCAATTTGCAATAGGCGTTTGTACCTCGTTTATACTTCGAAATTACTTACGAAATAACGAGTTTCGATCGCTCGGGATAGATTTAGTCGTTTCTATGCTGCCCATCTCGAATACCCCGGTCGAGTTAAACTCCTGCGTACGCTTTCGAAAGGTGGAACCAAAACTAGTTTCACAAAATGTGCCCTGCATATTACCCCGATTTCTTATGGAACTACCATTACTACGGATTCTCCTTTCCCTTCGATCTCTACCGCAGATAGCCGAGCCACCCGGTATACAGTAGCACAAATATTTGTTAAACCTACAGCAAACAAAAAAACAAGAGCGGTAGATTAAAAATACGTCGCTATCCAATCTCCATGCACAAGATTTTCTCGACGCAGTTTGTCAAATTACCAGCGATTTAAATAATAAATCAAAATAATAATCACATTATGAGAATTTTTTAAATTTGATAACATATAGGCCTATTGTATGAACTCGAGAGAGAAGCAGCCGGCAGGAAAAATATATTCAAACGGTTTTCTCGTAAAAATCTCCATGAAAAATGCATACATTAAATTTGCATACGTTTGCGATATCACTAGGCGAAGAAAGTCGTAGAATGGCAAAAAAAATTATAATGTAATTTTTACCGACGTAAATAATGTTTGTTAATACAATTACTTTAGAATTGTAAAAGTTTCGTTATTGCCATGAGTGAAAAATTATTCAACGACTTTTATTTATGAGGCAATAATAAACGTCATACATGCGCTTACCTTTGTCGAAACGTGCGGCTGATTAAATACAGAGCAATCGGATTAACGCAGCTATTGCTAAAACTTAGGCAGAAACCGATTATTCTGAAGATGTGCCAGAAATAATCATAGTCGTCCTGCGACGAAGGGCAAAAGTGGAACCACAGCATGAACACGTGATATGGCAGAAAACAAATCACGAAAATGATTATGAAACACACTACCATTCTGCCCACCTATTAATTACAGCAATGAATTCGTTAATAATAATATCTAGAAGATAACTAGAACTAAATCGTATATATTGCTCCATGATGTGTAAAGCATGCCTATTCAATACTTTGCTTTTAAGAGATATGCATTTCTTTTTTACCTTTCTGCGCGCTCTTATCTGTTCCAGATGATGATCACAATCTGGAAGTTCACTTGGTATATTTCTGGTGGACAATGTTAAATGCCGCGCCATGCCCAGATAGAAACCAGCTATCACACACAGCGGTATTGCGTAATATGCCAGAAATTTAAACATTACCATGCCTTTTTTGTAGGTGTCTCCTACGTAATGCAAAAGCATGTTATAATTGCATGTATATATAATGTGTATTAAAATTACTCTTTTTTCTCTTTCTTCTACTCTTCTAATATTTTCTCATTAATAAGTTAAATGAAAAAAAGATAACTTTTTCTTCCGATAGATGAAGTGACATTATATCACAACTGTCATTACAAACTTTACAATTTACATATACATTTACATATTTTTGATTCGCGACATTCGTGATTGCACGTTCGAGGGAGCATTATGTCTTACCATACTCGTCGGGGTAAGGATTGCAAATTAAAATGCTGTAGTTGTCATATATCATTATAGACGGAACGTGAGAGAAGACAGCGGCAGGCATAGCTAAAGCAATCGCTAAGATCCAGATGAGGAGTGTCGTTAAGATGGTTAGTCGCTTTGCGCTTAAATTCGCTACGTGGTGACGAATGGGGTTCACGATAGCACAATATCTGTGAGAAAGTGCACGAATACATTACATCTGTGTGTGCAGAGAAGCAGTATTTAACTCACTTATTTCGAAAGTAAAGCACTCAAGACCTACATAATTGATTAACTTGCATGTATTTGCATGTAGTTGCGCATTATCGCTTTTTGTCTAAACTCATTCTGTCCTCGATTCAAATAGCATTTTATAAAATTAAAAGAAAGAAAGTATTAAATTATTTCATCGAATTATCATAATCATTGAAAAGTAATAATCGTCAATATAAAACATTCAATTTTACGTGTATTTAATTTAGCGATAATTTTTTCTTACATTCATTAAAATGAGTTATATGCTATATCTATGTCAATTATTTACAAGAATTAATTTTGCGAAATGCTTGAATATATTATAATTGAAATTTCAATTTAATCGCTTCATTAAGATTTAAATTAAATTGTGGATATTACTATAATAATACTATTACGCTAGATATATGCACACGCACAACTTTGTCTAATTTCTTGACTTAATCTACACAGTGCAATAAGGTTCTCAGCAGTTTATGTGTTTACCTTTCGGCTGATAAAGCTGCTAGAGTAAATACTGACACACCGATCGAAATGTCTTTAGCAAATTCGGATAATTTGCATATAGTTATGCCCCACGGCCATGATTCAAGAGTATAAACAATAGACGTGAAAGGTACACAAATTAGTATCACCTATAAATAATAAGTTAATTTTAGCTATATTTTTTAAATCTCTTAGAATAATTTTTAAATAATAATTATTTATAGACGTTGTAAATTGATATAAAATAAAACGTAAAACTATACACTTTTTTTTTCATTGCAGAATAGAAGTATTTTCCTCAGAAAAATTTATTTCCAAGAGGAAAAATTTATCCTCTGATATTTTTATCTTTGTCCTTGAAAAAATATTATAAGACATTTTTTGTCTTTATTAAGATAAAGTTATTTATTTCAAAAAATTTCTTTTCTTTAAAAAAGTATTTCTGGAAAGAGGTAACTTCTTGAAAAAATGTTTGTTAAAAGAGTGTTCAACGGAATTGATGCTTACCAATAAATCGCCCCAAGCCAAAGATAAGACGTAAGTATTTGGTATATTCCTCATATTGGAGTTACATAGTAGAATAAGAATCAAGATACCGTTTCCTACTACACCCACAATCAAAATTAGAGAAAACACTAGGGGTACGATATAAGTCTCGGGTCGTTCACTCAACGGTATGTATTCGAAATCGGGATCACACTTTTCGCAGCTTATATTGCTCGCGTTCAATTTCTCAATGCTCATGCTTATGTTTAAAATGTCGTCTTCTGTCATCTACAAAAAAATTACTTTTGTTAATCTTATGAAGAAAACAAACAATAGGAAAGAGTTTATCGTTATCAATGCACGACATAAAAAGAAAAAAAATCAGAATAGTTGCAAAAAAAACAATATTACCTTATTTGCATTCACAAAAAGAAAATAGATTTATGAAAAATATTTTTTAATTATTACACATTGATTAACAGCTAGAGACACACTACATTACATGCAAATGTGAAAAGCACTACGAATGAGAAGATTAATGGGGTGTTTTATTGATATGTGACCTAGTTCGCTTGCAATCGGTCTTTAAAAAATCTGTACAAATTAAAACACGATGCACTTCATCACAGCATATGAATGTATAGCTTAAATACTAGGCAATGTGTGCTGTGCAAAACTGCGCACAATACGATCTGTCTCAAATATGACAATAAAATGCATCGTGGGCGGAACCTATGATAAACATGATAAGTATTCTTAGGCGGATACGCGCAGTTTTTTATTCTGGAATTGTAATCAAGCAAAATACATTTTTGTTCGTGATATTTTTATCATAGATAAAATAATAGAGATAATTGAAAATTATAAAGATTATAGCGGTATTAGATAATAGCGCTATGTTGTGCAAAACTATATTAGTCAGATTAGATTTATCCGATTTTAATAAAAAAATTTAGTATTTTGTAAAGGGAATAATGAAAATATTTTTTTAGTGTATTATATCTATATTGTAAAAATTGCACATATATGCGCTATATATAACATATATAATAAAATATTGTCCGCGTTCTATGATCATTTACATAGCGTTACATGTAGCAGTATGGATTCAGACAGCTAGATGCACGCATATGGTACGCGATCTAAAAGGCCTTGATTCTGTTTATTCAAGTTGCGAATATTGTTGTGTAGAGAGAGATTTGCTATCTTTAAACATATTCAATACAGTTTCTATCACATCAAACGGATTGTAAATTCGCTGCAACTTTTGCATATAATTTACCAAGTATTGCATACTTCTTCTATTACAAATTGTTAAAAATAATCGGCTTGCAAAAGATTAGCAAAAAAATATTAATTTTTACAATATTTCTATTTGCTACACGTTTCATTCTTATATTTTTATGTTCTAATCAATAACCAGCCATTAATCTAATTTAAAATTTATTTCACTTCTCTGCATTGATATGTGTTTCTTTTTTTATACAAGTTTATCATCGAATAAAATTTTTAAGATTTTAAGAACAGGTAATCATCTATATATAGTCATCTATACCTTTATACATTCAATACATTAAAAATTATTCTATCATTAAATTTCAAAATTTTCAAGTCTTTGTAAGAGATTTATGTAATTAAAAAATCTCAATGAAAATATGATTGTATAATTCCATGGTTATTTATCATATATTTAGTAAGCTTGCATATTCTTATAGATTTTATTATTATGCGCGCATGTCTCAGTATGGTTATGGATATTGTACTCACATCACTGATCAACATAATTAATAAATATAAATATAAAAATATGCAATTTATTTCAGAACAAATATTTTTTTCTTTTTGTCGTAATAATGTAGCTTTATACATATTTTAATAGCTTTTAACATATGTATTAAAAAATCATATTTATGCCTTGATATGCAAAAATGTAATTAATCTTTTAAAACAAGTTAAAACGCATTAAGTGGAAATATTAATAATGATCCAATAGGTATTCACTTGCAATTGGATGGAGCGCAATAAAATGCAACTTTGGTTTTTACGTGCCAATAATTTCTTGTTCAAATAAATGTATTCGTAATTTAAATTATAAAATATAAAAATGTTTAGTAAAATTTTAAATTGTTTGAATCGTGAAATGCATCTTTGCAAAGTTTAAAGTTGACCGACTATATTATAGATTATAAGTATAATTTCTTGAAAATTATGCTATAAATAAATTTACCACATTTTGAGTTACGTATTCATGAAAGTTCTGAAGAATCAACTCTACGCAACAACAAAATCGAACTTAAATCAATAAATCACCGTGATATACTTTTAACCTGTGTACAGAGAAACTTCTTTATCAAATTTTATCAATATTTTATCAACTGTTCAATCGATGAAGTTAAAACTTTTACTTGTAGCTAAGCTTAAATTTCACAGAAAGCAATCAGGTACGACGCATTTGTTTTGTTTCTAATTAATTTTTTTCACTAAACTCTTTACTATGAGATTTAAGATACAGTATGTCTAAGAAGTACGTAGCCGATATTTCTTTTATTCAATTAATTTCAATAAATCTAAAAGAAATTGCGCATGGCATGCTATTTACTATAGTACGAAAATGTCAGACATTGACAACGATAGCGACTAAACGATTTACTGATGTGATTGTCACAGGTATGTATTTTTATCATGACGTGTATCCATATATGCATATCGTTATGTAAAGTATAAAACAGTGAATATGAAATAAAAAATATTTGGAAATATGAAATACATATTCATTTATGAATATAACTCATGCTTAGCACATGGAAGTTGAATTATTCAGTCTGTTAAAAGAATTATAAAATGAACGAGTTACAAGCTGCATGGCAAAGTGAGCTAATATAAATATTTGAAATGACGAATTCCGAAGCTGTAATTTTCTTTTTTAAATATTCCATATTTGCTTGCATTTCTAAAGATGCGGTCGCTTTAATTCGCAAAATATGTTATTAAACTACTTACGATTTTAAATATCTATAAAAAGTACGATGTATTAGAACAACTACGCGGTATTATACATCTATTTATTCAGTCTCTCGAAAAGCGTCAGAATCCAGTGCGAAATTTCTGGACTTAATTTTGAACGGACCTTTGACTTGCAATATTATTTATTATTCCGGATGCGTTTGTTTGTTATTTTCTATTTATACCACACTTGAATGCAAGATCGTATCAGAACTCGATGAAAAATATTTTGGTTCGTGCATATATACATACAAAGTAGGTGAAGGAAAACTTTCCATCCCGTTTATTTTGTAACCGATGCGCGAAAAATACTAAAAAAGGTTAATTTTGTTTTCGAGAGAGAATTGCTGACAAATATAATTGCATTGTTTTATCCGTTTGATTGAGGTAGACCACCTTTTTAAAATTTTGAAATAGAGATTAAATAACACATCGTTTTAAAAGTCGTTCGATTATTTTTACAACTGTGCTTTTTTATGTATTTAGTAAATATTTATATAGAAGTTGTATCCATCTGTTTATAAGATGGATTATAGTGCGTTTTTAAAATTATTTATCAAATAATTATCAACATTGATATGTATGTAGTTTCGTCTAATTGGAATTTAAATCGTATTAATTTTCTTTTGCGAGTTTTCCTTTCTCGAGAACAAAAGAAATGATATAAAAAGAAAGTAATGGTATTATTTTCTTTTTAGTGTATGAAAAGAGAGTTGAAATTGTTGTGTTTTATTTTAAAAATGATAAATGTGCTACTAGAGCTGAGCTTTGAATATTCAATGAGAAACGTTTAGAAAAAAGTGTTTCTCATATTTATGTATTCATATGTATTTCGAATTTGTTAACAAAATTTATGAACACTGAATCAGTAATATATAAAAAACTTTATTCGGAATGCAAGTTTATTACTGACACTAACAGTAGCTTCAGATATACTTTGTATGGACTGCTCATGTGCATGTATGTATATACAGGGTGAGGCAAAAGTATGGAAACCCCCGAATAAGTTTTGAGGAAGGCATTTTACGAAAAAATGTTAAATACAAAAGTTTTAGGAAATTTCTCTGGCTTTTCAATGGTGACCTTGGATTTGACCTTGAGCTTGACCTTCAAGGTCATTTCAAGGTCAGAGCTATTTTTTTAAATGGAAACCCCTATTTTTGATTCCAAAATCTAATAGCTGGTGTCAAGAGCTTTTCAAAACACTATAATGAAGTTATTTTTCATTAAGTACTTTTCGAGTTATGAGGCTTGTAAATTACAGTATTTTGACATAAAATACAAAATATCTTGTAAAATATTCAATTTTTGGGAATCTTACCTTAATACTTTTATGCATAAAATAATGAGACGAATTAATTGGTATAAAGAAAACACATAGTTGCTTT